GAACCTTGCCAAGTAAACAATGTGTTTTTGCTCGTAACAAGGCTAATAAAGTACTTGGGTTCATACAAAGGAGTGTTAGTTACAAGACTAGCGAGGTCATCCTAAACTGTATTGTTCTTGTGAGACCACACCTGGATTACGCAGTTCAGTTCTGGTCACCGTATTACAGAATGGATATGGAATCCTTGGAAAGAATTCAGAGGAGAATGACAAGACTAATCCCGGGCATTAGGAACCTTGAGTATAGAGACAGGTTAAAGCATCTTAATTTGCACTCCCTTGAGAGACGTAGAGCGAGGGGCGACCTGATAGAGGTGTATAAGTGGAAGTCAGGGCTAAACAAAGGGGACATTACAAAGGTACTCAAACTATCCAACCAGGAGCGAACTGGTAACAATGGTTTTAAATTAGACAAATTTAGATTTAGGCGTGAAATAGGTAAACACTGGTTTGGAAACAGAGTAGTGGATGAATGGAACAAGTTACCAAATATCATCATTAACTCGAATATGCTGAATTGTTTCAAACATAGGTTGGATGCTCATATGAGCAATAGGGGTTGGGTGTAAACGGGACTGCCCAGTATGGGCCAATAGGCCCGCTGCAGTTTCCTCCATTCTTATGTTCTTATGATTGAAGTTGGATAAGTTTAGGTTTAGGAGGGAGATAGGAAGAAACTGGTTCACAAATAGGGTGGTGGACGAGTGGAACAAGCTTAGCAACTTTGTAGTAAGTGCGGGAACTCTGGAAAGTTTCAAAAGGAGGCTAGATAGATTCATGGATGATAGAGAGTGGTAGTAACTCTCGACAGGAGCTGCCATGCACAGGCCAACCGGCCTATTGCAGACTCCTTATTTTCTTATGTTCTTCTGTTCTAAGAGACCGATCGTCAGCCCGCCTAGTTATGCCACCTCAGAGTAAACCCAGAATGAACCCCGCCCAGCTGAGGGAGAGGTTCTACTTTCCCGTTTGTAAGATTTTTCACTGACTGACTGAAGAGATGTGAGGGTGGATCTTGTGGTGTTGTATGAACCAAGGTGGTGAGATTCGATGAACCAGATCGACCACATCCAAGCTCTGTGGTCAGTCACGGTAGTTTGGTAAATAGGGACATCTGTCGGATCGCCGGCCGGGTGGGTATCCACCCTGGGAGTAGCCAGCTATGTCTTCCAAGCCACAAACAATCAACCACCAACTACCGACCAAGTGGGGTCTCGTGACCCTGTAAAAGGAGTACTTTGTTAACTACTGTTAAATTCTTCTCCGCCCTACCTAAACACTGAGATCGAATACAGACTTACTTGCAACACGGATGAACGCGCGGGAAGGGACGAGACCACGGGGTAGTTTTCCTTGGAGGAACGCGTAGTTTGAAGTCCGTCCTGTTAGTGACCTGGAGCTACTGAGGCCCGGTCAACGCCAGCATCCTTCAGGCACTCGCCTGCCCCCATGACGTAATCTCGCATATTTGTATAGTTTCTTTTGGGACATACATAACATATTTAGAACTGGGACACTGTCCACAATAACTTAAAAAAAAAAATAATAATAAAATAATAATAATAATAATAATATATATATATATATATATATATATATATATATATATATATATATATATATATATATATATATATATATATATATATATATATATATATATATATATATATATATATATATATATATATATATATATATATATATATATATATATATATATATATATATATATATATATATATATATATACATATAATTGTTACGTGTCAAACGGTAAGGCTCAAAACAAACTAAAAGTGAATATATTTAAAGTAAATTACAATATATGGTTCTTAAATTTGTATCAAGAACAACTCCAACTACGGTGCAATGTATGGATTAAATGCAACCCCTTTTAATAAATAAATACTTGGTGATTGAAGAAAGGAAACTTAAATAAAATGTATAAATATTTTTACAAACGCTTACCACTAATAACAAAGACATAAAGCTAATCACATGAACATAATAGATTTTTTTAGGTTTCAATATCACTGACAACTAAATCAATATGCGATTCTAGGACAAAAATACATAAAACACTGAATACATAAGACACTAAATACAGCCAGCCAGCCTCAACATTGAATACCATAAGTACATCACCCGATCGATTGAAGACAAAAGTCAACTGACAACACAGGCCAGTCTAAAGGTCCAGAGGTTACCCAAGCTTGTGCCTAGCTCCAAACTGGCTCTTAACCCCTCTGCTTGATATGGGTTGCTGACTGACCCAAACATCGTACTTGACATAACGTCTCATTTTTAATGCTATTACAGTGTTACTGACTTTAATAATATAAACTATTCACATACACAAAAACAAAACAATATAATTCTAGCCTGGAAAAAATATAAAATGTATTTAAATGTATTTAAAATGTATTTAAATCATCTTGTGTCACAGAAACACTTCTGGTTGAAGCTAGTTTGATTAAGGAATTAAAATCAATAAACCTTAGTGATGGTCAGTTCAAAACTAATAATATGTAACATAAATTTATTTGTCATTGGCCCAAGGTTAAAAATGCTTTGAAAACCTTTGATCTAGATGTATGATAGTTATTTAGTGGGTCCCTTATTTTTGACCTGACCTGACTAGTCACGTCACCCCCTTCTCTTAAGCTCCTCTACGTGTGTGTTGGTGTGGGGATTAATGGATGACATCATTATGACCTGACCTCATGTTTTATAAGGTCACCCCGTATATTTAAGCCTCTCTCTGTCCATGTAATCCAGTTGTTTCTGAAGATGTCTTGAATAAAGACGAAAGCTAAGGTGCTCTGTTGTTTCCTTTTTCCCGTAAGATTTTATCAAGATATATATATATATATATACATATATATATATATATATATTTAATAAACCCCTGGTCAAGCGAAAATTAATTGCCAGTAATTCCGACCGGATACATATATAAGCGCTTGGGAACTTCGTGTTTTCTTCTTTCCTTGTCGTTATCAGCATATACCTAGATCACGCGCACCTACAGTGATTTACTTGCATATATATATATATCCGGTCGGAATTACTGGCAATTAATTTTCGCTTGACTAGGGGATTATTAAATTTTTTTAGATGGTAACTGCAGTGTAAGTGCCCCCTTGGAGAAAAAACCCGAACCAGCACAAGAACACTTAAATTTACAAACAAAATGAATTCTTCGTGACCCGTGGAAGGATAGCGTCTGTGATCGGGATTAATGAGACACACTGTAAAATTTTTACACTTATATTCCCTCCAACACTACAGACATAATCAAATAATGGTACACCAACATATGCCCAACTCTTAACCCGAACTTAAAACACTGCTCTGGGGAATAAAAGTTATACATGATATTGAAATTATTAGAAACTCAGACAATGCCTCATTAGACAACAATAAATTCAAAGTATTAAGAACTGTTGCTTGCACACATGAAACAGGCCTTAAGGGTTTTCACAAAATAATATCCACAACTGCGGAAATGGTATAAAAATAAGAAATTATTAATTCCACCATGAATAGGCCTAAAGTGCACTCAGTAGAATTATGTTACACCAACAGATGCAGGCCTTAAGGGTTTTAAACAAAATAATATCAATCACTGAGAAAATGGTATTAAAAAAAAATAAGAAATTAATAGCTCTACAATGAATAGGCCTTAAGGGCACTCAACAAAATTATATTACCCCAACTGATGCACACCTCCTAACCTAACTTAACACTACTCTGGGGAACAAATGTTATACCTGAGATTGAAATTATAAAGAAATATTAAATGCATTAAAAGAACTAAATCACAGTATCACTTGCAGCAGAAGGGAGAAAACTCATCTGAAAAACAGTTCCCTCATTCTCTGGCATCAATTGGTGACACACCATTAAAAAACAATACTATCAAAATTATTTAAGAAATATTAACTCCACACAAAAATATTATCACTATTATTAAGAAGTTACTGAGTCCAAAATCCCTCAGTCAGTCAATGGAGTCGCAGCTTGAGAGAAGTTTGACCAGAACCGTCTGTAGTATCCACCCATACCCAAAAACCTCATGACCTCCTTTCGGGTCTCAGGAATCGGTAGGTTGTTGATGGCTTCTACCTTCACTTCAACTGGACTGACCTCACCAAACCCGTCGATGTGCCCTAGGTAAGGCTAAAACGAAAAGTGGAGGTTCATGGAATTGGAGGAGATATTCTAAACTGGATTAGGGTGTGGTTAAAGGACATGAAACAGGGAGTCAGCATTAATGGCACTAAATCATATTGGTGTGACATTATTAGTGGATTACCCCAAGGCTCAGGACTTGGACCATTATTATTTATCATACACATAAACAATATAGATATAGGCGTAGACAGCAACATACTGGAAGTAAATTTGCTGATGACTATAAAATTGGGCGTATAATTAAATCTGACAAAGACTCCGCAAAACTAAAGGAAGATCTAAAAAAAAAAAAATATGATCTTAAAAATGTCAGATGAAATTTAATGTGGACAAATTTTACGTACTTGGCCTAGATGTAAACAGAGTAACCAGATATCAGATGAACAACGCTGATATAGAAAAATCCGACCGTGAGAAAGACTTAGGGAACTGCAAGTACCAACCACAACTGTGCAAAAAATTTTTGCATGAAAAATGCAATTTCATGGAAGCCAGATGACAGTGTGCTGTCTCTTGTATAGATACCACCACTTTTAATCTTCAACAACACAGTAGACATTAGTTCAAAAGAACCTTTAAAGCAAATGCAAAAACTTGATTAGCCAAGGAACTTGATGCATTTTTTTTATATAATTCTATCCCTTTTGGTTTTTTTGTAATAAACATTTAAAACTGGTAAAGGCCTTTATGAACACCCTTTTTGTTTTCTGTAAATCCACATTAACTCATATAAACCCGAGAAACAGAGAGTAACACTGACTTAATAAAAACTTTTCTCACTGAGTCTACTCTGTGACGTCACCCAATGAAATAACCAGTGAAATCGACTCCTTAATAAATGGGTCCCGATGCGCTCACCAGCCAGTCTTGCTCAACACATCAGACAGCTAACAAGCCGTTTCATAATCTCCTTGCTGCCCCACCTGCTGTGCCAGTAAGTTCAAATAAAACTCATACAATGATATTTTCTCGGACTAATATTTCTGTGAATCTCCGTTGTTGTTTTACATAGAGAATCGTTTCGGAAATTTTCAAGAAGATGAATTGAAGTCTTCTTGGCACCCTAAGCTTGCTCAACCGTATATTTTATTTTCGTACACAATTTCTTAGTTGACCAGTAAATTTTAGTCTCTTTGCATATACAGGCTGTCATTTTCACATGTAAGTTGCTAATAATGCATTTAAGGTCTTTACACACACATTTATATATATATATATATATATATATATATATATATATATATATATATATATATATATATATATATATATATATATATATTGATAAAATCACACGGGAAAAGGGAAACAACGGAGCACAGAAACTCGGGTACCCTTCTGTGTTTGTTGATCGTTGTTTTAAAATGGCTAAAAAATCCATTCATTCCTCTCAAACCAGACAAATTCCTACACTTAAGAATATTTTGACTGCCCTATCGTTATGAATTTGTCCCGTTAGTTCGGTCCCTCAAGCTTCTAAATATTAATGTTGTTTTCAAGTATGACTCAACCAGTACCAATATGTTAATAAGAAATAGCCCAAGTTTGAATGTAAATGGAAGTGTTTATTGTATTCCATGGAGCAAATGTAATGGTAATTATGTAGGACAGACAGGAAAAACACTGCAGCTCAGAATCAAACAACATAAGTATAATATCAGAACAGCATCTGAAAACAGTGCCTTGTTCGTTCATGTTAGGAATAATAATCATCCCATTGCTTGGGAAAAAGCTAAGAAGTATTTAAATCATCTTGTGTCACAGAAAGACTTCTGGTTGAAGCTAGTTTGATTAAGGAATTAAAATCAATAAACCTAAGTGATGGTCAGTTCAAAACTGATAATATGTTACATAAATTTATTTGTCAGTGGCCCAAGGTTAAAAATATATAGTGTTACGTACTTATGTTCCTGAGCTGGACACCTTACCAGGAACCGGGCGGGAACCGACCCCCGCAAACTCGAAAGTTTTGTTTGCTTACATTTCACCTCATGTTTAGCCTATTGCTACAACACTACTCAGTCTTACTCAGGTATTGTACAGTCTCGTTCAAGATTCTTCTAACACTGCTGGAGACAGCTGACAACTCAAGGCCGTTTCTTTACGATAGTACTTAGTAAAAATTATGAATGAATGTAAAAGTGATCGGTGATTGGTTACTTAGTTCCCCGTTGCTTAATTAATGGTTGGGCTTTGTTGTCTTTTATTTTATTATACTTCTCTGCTGGTATATACTATTAATTTGATTTTAAAATGGATAGAGCAATGAGCCAACCTATATGAAATCATATTTAGATAAATAAACATAAGTAAAAATCGGTAAGTATGTTAAAGAACATCATACATCGGGCACAGCTGTGTGCAGGTTGTTTATGAGGTTGCCTGTTTATCATTAATTTATACTAATATTATCTTCAAACATTTAATCCATTTCGATTAATTAATCCTGTCCTAAGTAACCGATGCTAAACAGAGTTCTTTCTAAAGACGCTGATTTCATGCAACGCAAACTGCTATTTTAATTCGCGGTGGGATTAAACAGAATCATCTGTTCGCTGCTACCTCAAGTAAGTGTGTGTGTGTGCGTGTGTGCCTTAGCCTGTGTGTGTGTGTCAATGCTTGTCTGTGAAAATAGTTGTATAAATGAAACAGTATTATTTAGTTTATTTAATGAAATAATTTATTTTACATTCCCTGGAAAGAGAAATTTATATATAATGTTTTATTTTTATCTATTTATTTATGTTTAAATTATATTTCATTAAATGGATACTACACAGTTTTTACGAAATGAAAGACTCCAATGAGATCCTCCGATGAGCCAGTTTAAAAACAAGGTTTTTTGCGGACAAACAAGCAATAATCGAAAGAAATGTCATTTGAAATATATAAGCTAAGTATACTCGGAGGACAATCGTAATGGATACAATGCAATACAATACATATGCTACCGCATTAGCTACACCTTCAGTACGAGATTTCATTAATTAATGTAATAATTTTTTTATAATTAATAAAAACAGCAAGGGACTCCGTTGAAATAGACTTTCTTCACGAGCGCGTGCGTATGTGTATGTGTATATGCAAGTGTGCGTGAGTGTTAGAGCATTATTGTAAGTTATGAAATAATTGTGGGGTAACGTTGTAACATAGTTTGGTATTTTGGCAAAGATTTCTTCCCATTTGTTATAATAACTGAAAAGAGAAAAATATATACAAATACAACCATTACAGTTGTTACCGCCACAGTAGGATAAACTAGAAGAGAGGGAGAAAGAGAGGGATAGAGAGAAAGAAAGGGAGACAGGAGAGAGCCAGTGTTGACAACAAACTTTGCTGAGGTGTTAAATGTGAAACAGATGCCCTTGCTTCGGGCTGACTCGCTCCTTGTGGGGTTCAGAAGATAGTCTCTAGCCGTCCAGTGAGCTAACAAGTCAGGGAGCTAATAAGTCCTACATTAGACCCGAAACACGTAAGTTTTTATATGGTTTATCACCCCACTCTACTCAAATAAAGAACAATCGAGTCCTACGGGCAAGGGTCTCATTATCCCACAGTCGCTCATTGGGCGGTTACAACAATAAACGTTATCCAAGAATACATAAATATATTGTGAAAGGCATGACATGAACTTATTAAATATGAGATTATGAGATTGGAATATAAAAGATCAATTTCCTCTTCACATGTGCCTTCAAGAGCCGGATCGGACAGCTGTGATCGGACCATTACATATTGTAGGAATTGTGTCGTTATACAGTTGTTTCTTTGTCTCCGTTTCCCTCTCTGATTTTTTCCGTGGTTGACCTTTGTAATTACTACATTGAATCGGGGGTGCTTGAGGACATTCTTGCTGTTTATCTCAAATTTGCTAACCCACACTGATTTGTCTTCAATTAGAATATGACGTCCAATGTATGTGAACCACTGACCTATACATACTGATAATGAATATGATGTATTTCTTTCTTTCTTTGTGTACGAACCTCTGTCCTGCATGGCAGTGACATTATCCACATGAATCTGATCTCTCTCTCTCTCTCTCTCTCTCTCTCTCTCTCTCTCTCTCTCTCTCTCTCTCTCTCTCTCTCTCTCTCTCTCTCTCTCTCTCTCTCTCTCTCTCTCTATATATATATATATATATATATATATATCTGTTAATGAATATTATTCTTCCCCAGAAATGTAAGCCTTCTTCAGCATACCGTCGAGCAACCTGCAACCTGCCCTCGCGATGTCGTTCATTTAACTTCTCCTTGGTGGCGGGAGTTCTATGGTGAATGTCTCCTTCGTGAAGTCTTCGCCTGATTGTTAAAGGGGAAATATTTAATTGTAGATCCTCTCTTATTGAAAATGAAGTCTTGAAGGGGTTGGCCTCAGCGAAATTCCGGATGGCTTCAACTTGTGCAGGTGTTGTTCTGCGCGGCATTACCGTCCTGTGGTGGTCCTTTAAACTTCCCTCCTCTTCCCATCGCTTAATCCAATAATATACAGTTGACCGAGAAAAACCCAATTCTCGTGCAATTTCAGTGGGTGAAAACTCAGCCTCTTTCATGCCGATTATTCTTCCACGTTCAGTGATTTTCTCCGTGTGGTATTCCATGTTGGCAGGGTCCTTCTACAATTGAGGGAGTGGAAGGGTAGTCAGCACTGACAACACCTCTGTCTCCCCCACCTTCCCGCCAATAAAGTCAGCGTTATATTTATATTTATCATGAATTTATAAAAAATAAACGAATAAATAAATAAATAAGATACAAATTTATAATACATTATGCACATTTTTAAAGACACCAGACTAAACGTGACGTAATCGACACAAGTCAGAAACAAGGATTTAGGGTGGTGGGGGGGGCGCAAAGAGTCACTCAACGAAAGAAATGCCATTTGCTGTTTACAATATTCATAGTCTTGGAATGACAATGATATTACTAGATAATGGCTTGTAAAAGTATTAGGTATATGCTACAGTACTAATTCACACCATCAAACGGATGGTTCGTAAGATTAATTACCATCACCTTCAATTGAACAACGTCATTATTAAATACAGACACAGACTGACACACACACACACATACACACACACTCCACATGCGCACACACACTCCACATGCGCACACGCACACACACACTTACTAGAGGTAGCAGTGAACAGATGATTCTGCTTAATCCCACAGGGAAGGAAAACACAGTTTGTGTTGCAAGAAATCAGCGTCTTTAGAAAGAAGTTTTGTTTAGCATCGTTTACATACAGCTGCATTAATTACCCGAAAGGGATTAAACGTTTGAAGACAATATTAGTATAAATTAATGATAAACAGGCAACCTCATAAACAGCCTGCACACAGCTGCGCCCGATGCATGATGTTCTTTAACATACTTACCGATTTTTACTTTTGTTTCATTGTCTAAACATAAATTCATATAGGGTGGCTCATTGCTCTATCCATTTTAAAATCAAATTAACAGTATATACTAGCAGAAAGGCATAATATAATGCGAAACAACAAAGCCCAACCATTAATTAAGCAACGGGGAACTAAGTAACCAATCACTTTTACATTCATTCATAATGTTTACTACGTTGTATAGTAAACAAACGGCCTTGAGTTGCCAGCTGTCTCCATCAGTGTTCGAGACAAGAAACACTAACAACCAGCAATAATCAAACATTAACAATCGCCACACTCATACAACACTTACATAAATATAAAACAATACTCTAACAATCACCCTATTCCTACCACACATAAATGTACATAAACATTACAAACTTACATTACATTCTAAGCCAGAGTAACACAATTTGATATGAACCACAACCGGCTCCGCCGACCAGCGATCACCAACTCCACACCCTCGTCCGTCCTGGAGTGCTCTGCCCTCCTCCCTGGTGCACCGCTTCATTACAACTCCGTTCGAGATCTGAAC